CATAAAAACCAGGAACAAGACCAGAATGTCCAATGTCACTGTTGCCAGTGATCATGGACCTAACAGCGAGAGGAAAATGGTATAAAATTGAAGTGAGGAGATAAAGTCATTTCTATTCGCTGTTTATTAGATTATATACTCAGAAGACAGAAAATGATTAACTAAAAATTATTAGTGACAATAACAGAATGTGGTGAATTGACTCTGCAAAAGAGTAATAACCAGAAATCAAGAACCTTCACGTATACTATGTCCAGTTAGAAAACATAATTGGGAAAAGTTCCCACTTAAAATAGCAATGAAAAATAGATAAATACCACAAAATCAATGTAATAAGAAACGTATGAAATCTATATGGAAACAATTGGGAGATAAAAAAATAGAAAAGCCTGGCACCAACAATGCCAGTAATTCCAAAATTGAATCTCTACACTTAATGCAGTTGAGATGATACCAACAGAAAATGGTTTGGGGGAGGGGTAGGTAGGGAGAACTGACTCCCCATAGAAGCTGACTTGAAAGATCAGGCATGGAAATCAAAACTCCCACGAAGATCTTCAGGGAAAGCAGCGCAAACAGGAGCTGTTGCAGCTGTGTGTTAAGCGCATTAGAAAGTGATAAGTATTTGTGATAGCCAACTATTGGGAACACTGCATGACAAGGTAATGTGTAGGCTTTTAAAAAGAAAGAATGAAGGGCACTTTATGTTCTGAAATAGAAGTTGGACAACCTTTGAAGGAGAAAAAATACATGAAAAAGCTTTATCTTTGTCAAGTTTGTGCTTTAAAAAAAGGAGCAAAGTAGTATGTACAGTGCACCCCTCTTTATGCAGGAGTGAGGACGCTTTGGTTACTGAATCCAGATGTATTCGAGGAACTGCTAGGACTCGGTTGCCTCTGGAGAAGGGAAGCTGGTAGCTGTGGGATGGATGAGAGAAAGATTTTCATCACTGTCATTTCTTTTGGTCCTTTTGGATTTTGCCGACTTTGGAAAAACAAAGGTAGATGTATTTTATAATTAACCTTTTGGAATGTGTCTCATTGCAAATATCAAAGGACGCCTATCTGATCAAGGAGACAATATGCTTCAGGTGGTTGAGGACGCTTGCACATTACTCTGGTAACTTTATCAGGAATTCTCCCCAAAGATGGCCAGGCGAGTTCTCACGCTAGACTACTGTGGGGATATATAAGGGTGGCAGGCTAACCCTGCCTGTCTGCTACAGGGATGAAAAAAAAAAAGCCAGGGTGGTCTGTAGGCCACTGGACGCATTTTCTCCCAGGGTGGTCTGATTGCTACAGGAACATTGGGCCTTTTATTTTACATTGGCCTATTTCGGTAATCCTTAGGCAAAACCCCCTCTCACCTCAATTTTCGAGTTATTTCATACTGCCCTCATTGACTCTATGTAAATGTTTCTCATTTATGGCTATAATTTTATCATATACTGTAAAGTTTTCCAGAAATTAACAATAATTTCTATTCCACGCAATGGATCTCAGGACCGACCCACACCTTACAGGCGAATCCACAATGCGATTTTTATGTTGGTTTTAGGCTTTTGGACTGCAGAGTTGGCAATACATTTAAGCCATTCTATAGTAAGTGATATTATAATAAGATTCAATTGTCCTAAGCTGGGCCCCACAGTACTTTTTCATATTCACAAATTTTACTTTGTAAATGCTAGCCGTAACTTGTCAGCATATCCTTAAATGAGGGAGCTCATTTTTTTTCAAGCAAAGTGAGAATGAGGAATTTTAATATTTAGCTTACGAAATTCCAGAACACATCCAGAAATGGACCCCGTCAACAGAGCTCCTTCTAGCGCATGGGAAAACGGACATACGGTAACTATGGTAACATGAGTTGGATACCCTTTGGCTCTTCAACTAAAACAAAAATTTAAAAATATACATATCCCACCGCAAAAAGAAAAACAGAAAGCAAAAAAACTACAGATGTAAATATTTGGATAACTCTCAAACCTTTTTGCTAAACTGTCAAACAGGAAACTTTAAGTTTCCAGCCTTGATTAGACACCCGATTTATCATTTGGTACCCTGTCTCCACACATTAGCAACGGTGCCCTTTTTCAGAGCCATGGTCTTGTTAGGGGCAGAATGTCCTTATAGAGGAATGTAGAAAAAAATTTAATCTTCACCCAAAGGCATTTTTCATCCTTTTTTAGAGAAAGAAAAAGGGAGAATGAGAGAAAGAGAAATGTTGATGTGAGAGAGAAACATCTACTGATTGCCTCTCCTAGGCTCCCTGACTGGGGATTGAACCTACAGCCTAGGTATGTGCCCTGACCGGGAATCAAACCTGCAACTTTCAGTGCACAGGATGATGCTCTAACCAAGTGAACCATACTGGTCAGGGTGCTATAGCAGAATTTTAAGGGTGGAGTTCATAGTTAGAAGACTTCACATGTGCCTGATTTGCTAAATGTAGTCTCCTTCCCTTCAGGAATTAGAGTCCAGGGTGGGGCTCAGGCTGTTGGTACCTTCATCAGGAAGAGAAGGCACTGCTCAAAGGGCAGAGGGAGGCTGGGAGGACAGGATGGGTGGGAAGCACCGTGCAGTGTAAGAGGAAGGACCCAAAGGCCCCGTTTTCTCCATCAGGCAGTGGGCAGACACTGGCTGAGACATGTCACCGTTTCCCCTTCGTCCTGTTCTTCCTGAGTAGTGTCCAAATTTGTCTTCCATTCACTCAATCTCTGCGTCTTTTAGAAATCTCATCTATGTTCATGGGTTTAGTCTGATCTTTTTGTTTTTCCATCAGTTTGTCCAGGTCCACCTCAAACTCGAGTTCCAGTCCTTTTTCTTCAAATGAGACTGTTTTATTTAGGTGACCTCATTGTCACTGCAGACACTTCTGTAAAAACCCACCCCCTCACCTCCAAATACCAGACCCTCCCTTGTACTGACCTCCCCATCTTTCACTAACATACTCCTCTTCGTCACCAAATTCTGCAACTATTTCACATGTTTGTCTCTTCCTTTCCGATCTTAACCCTACTACTTCATCTGGCCCTATTTTTCATCTAAATTCTTGTAAGAGCCATGGAGCTGGCCTGTTCCCCACAGTTGTCTTGCATGTTGTGACTAGAATAATCCTAGGTCAAATTTGTTTGCATGTTTTTTTTTTTTGTTTTTTGATAAATGTGTTGTTGCCTCTCACATGCCCCCCACTAGGGACCTGCTCCGCAACCCAGGCATGTGCCGTGACTGGGAATTGAACCAATGACCTTTTGGTTCACAGCCCGCGCTTAATCCATTGAGCTACACGAGCCAGGGTTTGTTGGCATGTTTTTATTTCTTCTTATCAAATGGAGGTTTCTTTGCCTCTCTTTTACGGTGACCCATATTCTTCACTCTCCTCCCAGCTCCCAGGTCCACCGTCCCCGCCCCTAACATACATGCTGAGGTGCAGACAATGGTGCTCCCCCCGCACACCCTCTTCAGAACTGACGTGCCCATCTCATCTCGCTCTGCCCTCCGTGCCCCCCCCCCCCGCCACTGATCCACTGAGAAGTTTCACTGCTGCTGGCTCACAGCTGGTCCCTCACTGAGAGAAAGATGCCTGCCCCCTCCTCAGGGCTTCCCGGAGCCAGTGGCTAGATGATGTGGGGTATGAAAGCCTATCCTCCTAGCTTTAGTTTGGGACTCTTCTAATCTGCCATTCCAGCTTCAGAACTCCCCAAGGGGTCAGATGCCTCAGTTGCATCCTGTTTGCTTTTCCACCATGCAGCCCTCTTTTCCTGATTTCCCTCAGGTCTGTGTTCTCAAATCGCTCCCCAATCCATCTTCTGCCCACAAGTCATTGTCCAGCCTAAGACAGGCAGCCCCAGGAGTGGTCCAGAGAAGTATTCCCTAAAAAGGGATTCTGAGACAGGGCACTCACTGCCCCTCCCCGGTTGCCATGCCGACCTCTAACTCTCCATAGCAGTGCATTGCTAATGTTTTCCCAGGGATAAACTGAGATAGGATGCTGCTGGGGGGACTTCTGGCTGGTGCTTCAGGGTTAGGAAGGGTAGTTATACGGAGTTTGGAATCGGGTACCAACTTCCAAGGGGCATGGATTTGTTGAAGAGATCTTTTAAAAAGGACTCGGGGTGATTGAACATCAATTCCGTCAACTGTGAAAGCCACGGGATCTCTGACAGCATTTAATGAAGCCCTGGTCCCCTGCAGTCTGGCAGGCTCAGCTGCAGGAGCACTGCTTCTGAAAAACCTGCAACAAGTCTTCTTCGCCACAGCCCTAATCAGGAAAGACAGATTCCTACAGTTGGGATCAGAATACCTGGGTAGATGCAGGTGAGAGCCTAATCTCCCCTATTGCCCTGAACCTGGGAGACTTGTTATGAGGCCCCCACCCCTCCTCTGAGAAGTGGGAAAAAGGTGGCAGACCTGCTAGGAATCTCAGGACTCCAGGAAGGAGGTAACAGTGGCTTTGTTATTTTCTCTTATGTTGTCCAGAGTGAGCACCAGAGAAGCCAGCCATCCAAAAACGCCAATGGATACAAACAAGAAGAACACAAACTGCGTGGATTCCCTCATTTCCCTTTTGATAAAGGGCTTCCAATGTCTGCCCTGCTTCAGGAGAAGTGGTAGGATTCGGAAGATAACCTGATGATCTACAGGTTTTAATGACATTATTTGTCACTTGATCTTATTGGTTGTCTCCCATGCGTTTATTAATTAACAGTAGTCATAGGTCCCTCATCAAATAAGCTTGCTGGGAATACATATGTCCCAAGTTCACTCAATAGTAAAGAGCCCATTTTCATTGACTTTATAACTTGAAAATCAATCCTCCAACTTCAGAAACAAGTGAACTGGAATAACTGAGCCCCCCTTAAGTGGAGTATTGGGTCCCATTTAATAAACTAAGATGGATTATTTATTATTACCAAGTTCAATTAAATTCCTTTGAAGTCCAAACAGTAAATCGACCATATGCAGTTTCATTCAAGTTTTCATTTTTTATTGGTAGTTGCGTTTCTTGAATGGCAGGTAAGTGAATTCGTTGAAAGGAAAAACTGAGACACCATGAAACTAAGAAGTATTTAAATTAAGAAATGCCCCAACTGGTGAAAATGTACGAAACTCAGGGAAGTTCTGCCTTGTGGAAGAGACGAGGGCGGGGCACTGGCTGCTGGTGGGGAGGCAAGGTTTGCCGCAGGCTCCTGCTCACTGCAGTGTCTTACTCCCCACGCAGCGTTCCTTACTCAGAGAACACAGTGAGAGATTAGTTAAGAATTCTGTCTTCAACTGTTAGGAATCTGGAAGAATCTTGGAAACGCCCCAAGACCAGGGATGAGAGCTATGCCCCCCACTTCTGCCCTTTCCTGGGATGCCTGCTGTTGATTCTCTTTGAAGATGCCAGACCCCAAAGGTGATCCATTGTATCCTGTAGGCTAGGGGTTCAACGCACCATGTCTGGACAAAAGGCCTTGTAACGCACAGTGTTCCCGCCCTGCCCACTGGGTCAAGTTCAAATTTCACTTTCATGGCACGTCACACCAGGATCACGTATAATCCTAGAGTAGCTTTATTTGTTCTATAATTTAATAGTACACCTATAAAATAATTACATTATACTTATAGCTTTTCTTCATTTATAAACACACACAAAACAATTAAATACAATTTGAGCCATTATAAGGTAAACGTACATACAAGAACCCCAGAAGGAGCTTCCCGTGCAGCATATCATATTGCTTCTGTCGCTCTACCCAAGACTGGGTTCAAGGAATGAGCTCATGTCTGTATTCTGTAAGTTTCGTAGCGCCGTCCTTCGCCTATCTGGGTTCTGTGTTCATACAATAACAGGGGCTGGCTTTGCAGTCGGCCCGGAGACGCCTCTCCACTGACCTCCCTCACAATCACGTGGACCTCCCTCCCTCACAGCTTTGGGGCTGCACGTTCTGCCTGAGTCTGACTTGAGGTTTTCCACGAAATGCAAGTTTCCTGACTTACGGCCGTCCATGCCTATTACTGAAGCCAAGGCCTCCATTACAACTGCACGTTCTGCTCAGGTCTCATGGCGTCACAGGTGCGACAGAAATGAAACCTGCAGCACGAGGGTTGTAAATGGATTCCCCGACACGCCACAACCTACCTGCCTCCTTGCTCCCTTGGTGGACGTCTCTAGAGCCTTCATCACTGCCTAATGTCAGTTCCCAGAGAAGCCTGTAGAAGGTTTCCCAACTCCCCGGAAATCAGGCCTTCCTGAGCCCCCTGGACAGAGAGCACTTAAGATTGAGTGTTTGGGAATCATCAGTGAAAACTCCTCCCAGTGTGTTCATTCCCACCAATCAGATCGGACTCTCATTCACATTCATCAGATGCCATACACATCACTCACAGTGAACCTTTCTGTGGGGCAATTTAGCAAAGTAAGAATAATTTTGCAGGAAATTGGATTATGTCAGCTTCCCTCTATCAAGAGACCACAATGTGAAAACCTCAACAATTTATTATAAAAATGAAAGCTGACCTAATGGTGCCCATCTTTTTTTTTTTTTTTTAGTTCATTCTTTGAAAAGGAAGCTGGTTGCTTTCTGTAGGACAGTTCAACTAGATTTCTGTTTGATATATTGTCTCCTTTATTTCCTCTTCTACCACAAAGTGACCTGGCTCTTTATATTTTTGAATATTTCTCTATTTCAACAGGAAATTGCTTTTGCTTAGTGCCATGGCAGTGAAATAGTATAGCTTCTCATTTCACATGTGTATATTAAATATGATAGGGGCATTTGAGTTGCAGGTTAAAATCTTCCCCGTGGATCTACTTCCCGGCACCCATCCATCCCAACACAGTTCCTACCTTGTGCTGTGATGCCTTACTAGCTTCACAGCTAGGCACTTACTAGCTTCAGTGAAATACTATTCAACGTGAAATCACAACCCCCCCCCTTCATTCTCTTAGAATGGGCTCCTGGCAGCGAATGGCGGCCAGACATTGCTTCTGAGTCAAACACCTTCTGGGCAGGTCATCCTCTGCTCTGGTCCATACTCAGGATGCTACTGCAAAGCCAGAGTCAAAACCCGTGACACAATACAAGGATAGGTCTATAATACTTTTTAACAGCTCTTTACAATATAGGTCAATTATAAAACCAGCGTTAATATGGAAACCTTTGTGTGTAATAATATTCTAATTGCAGCGATAATAGCATGCACACCAGAGTTCGTCTTTAGTCTGTAGAAGGGGGTGGGGGGGAGTGAGGAAGGTGGTGGCGGCTGGGGGTGGGGAGAGCGTGGCCCGCTGTCAGCTAGGTCCCCGGGGAAGCCTGTTTTGCCACTTAAGTGGCTCAAGTCGTCTTCTTGGTACCAGGTTAAGAGAGCCCCCTGTCCGCGGGCAGCTTCCTGACCGCCCTTCTCCGGATTCGCAGCTCGGCAGCAAGAAGACAGCCCTACAATCACTAAGTAAAGCTCCCAGCCAGGGGGACGGGGCGGGGACCAGGGACCAGCAGCAGAGGTTGACGGGGCTGCTCCGCATCCTTCACTTCAGGGAGGCAGTGGGCAGCTGGAGTGTAGGGCAAGGCCAGGGAAATACTCCCCTTTCCACATGGTGGAAACATCCGTGCCTCTCCTACGGCTGGGTGGTGGTTTTCTAGCATCTGCCTTCGGGCCTGAAACAGCCTGGTTTGGGAGGCGCACAGTCGGCCCAGGGTCGATCGAGAACACATCAGCAAAGCTCCAGTTGCGGCCCGCGCTCATGCCAAGGACACCATCAGCCCCAAGAAACGTGCTTGCTGCTGAGAGGGTCCACCAGGCAGCGTGAGTGAGTTCTGAGGACAGGGACAAAGGCGGCGGCAGCGCGACCCAGCAGACAGGTGCGCAGTGCAGAGCTGCGTCCGGGCCGGGGCGCTCAGTGCTTGTCCGAGTCGCTCAGGTTCACGGACATGCACCTGCACTGCTTGACCTTCTGGATTTTTTTGAGTCGGAAGGGAGGGTCCAGCCCAGGACACTCGAGCTCCACGAGGACCGAGGTGACACGCTGGGGCTTGCAGAAGGCGCAGGACTGGAAGGACTCCTCCTCCTTCCTCACGTGGCGCGGGATGTAGAAGGAGTTGCACTGGCCGTAGCAGAAGCGGTTGAGGACCGTGCGGCTGCGACAGCCCTCCTCGCTCACCGTCTGCCGCAGCGGCTGCGTCTTGCACCAGTCACTCTTCAGGTACTTGCGCTCGGTGACCACCAGGGCCTCCTGGCTGGAGGCCAGCACCTCCTTGATTTGGTGCTGCCATCGCTCCGAGTTGTTGCTGCTGCCGTCCTTGTAGGGCGAGGGGATGGCTCCCGCCGGCCGGTTCTTCCTGGCGTCCCCCGCTTTTACGAGCGCGGCCACCAGGAGCAGGGACAGGGAAAGCTTCCAGAGCATCCTGCAAAGAGAACAGAGTTCGTTAGAGGGGTTGGTTGGGACGGCTGATGGCGTGCGGCATCGTTTTCCTTTTTTTAATCCTCCCTAGAGGATATGTTTATTGATTTTAGAGAAGGAGGAAGAGGGAAAAAGAGGCAGAGAAACGCCAGTCGATTGCCTCCAGTGAGCGCCCCACCAGGGAACGAACCCCAACTTATGTACCGTTCTGTGCCCCGCCCTGGGATGGAACCCGCAACCCTTTGGTGTAACTGCTCCAACCAACCAGCTCAGCCACAGACCGGACCAGAGCTCCTCGCTTTCCTTTTTAATGTTTTATGGTTTCTTGTGGAGGCGCTGCAGTCAGGTGGGGTGAGGCTGGTGGCTGGGTGCCCAGGGGCAGGCGGAGGTGGGAAGTGGTTGGTAGGACACGCACACAGCAGTGAAGAGATCCCAGATGCTGCCCAGAACGCAACGATGCGGACAAACTAGGGCCACCCTTGGAAAACACGCACTCGTTGAACAACTGCGGAGAAGGGCAAAGCGAAGTCTATCCAAATTAGCTCGAGCCAGTTTGCCCAAGGACCAGTGGCAGTTCATACCCAGCATGCCCTGCGTTTCAGGATTGGTCCCCAATGCTCTGGTCTCATTAAACCCTCAGAGCAGCCTTCCGTGGAAGGGGACATTGTTTTTATCCCCATTTTATGGTGAAGAAAACTGAGACCCACGGAAGTTGAAGACTTTGCCCAAGGTCGTACAAAAAGTAATGGCCCAGGATTTGGAGCCGGGCATCTGCTTCCAGAGCCATCGAAATTAACCGCTGGACACCGACATGCTCAGGAAAATTAACGAAAAGCAAGGGCAAGGTGAACGTGATTCACAGGTGTCTAGAAATGAGTATAAAAGTTACAGATGACATTGCTTAGGTGAATTAATATTTGCACATTGTGGCTCTGTTTACAAATAATAATAGCATTCAGCATCTGCAAAAATATATTCAAGCAATTAAAATGAGTCATGAATTAGATTCTTGCAGTGGAAACCGCCTCCCAGCTGTGAATGAAGAAATGCCCACACCTGTCTGAGAACTGCCTCCGACCCAATGCAGTGCGGACAGATGAAGAAATCCACATGAGTGGATGGTTCTTCATCTGTGTACTTGGGGACCAGGACACAAGTCCAGCAAATACTTGATGGTGGGAACTAGAGCGAAACTATTCTTACTCTAAACCATGTCTTGTAGGAAGCAAACCAGTCTGACCAACAGATGGACCGCAAAGTTTAATTAGCAGTTATATTATTTCCATTAATCCCCTTAAGGGACAACAATACCCTCGACAGACAAGATTCTCATCTTCTTTACAAGCAGATCTCCTATGTTCATCCTCGTAACCCTCATCATCATCCTATTCACATTCGGTCATTCCCTCTCTGTGTATTTTACCACTCACAGAACGCATGGGACACTAACCTGCACCCCCAGAGTGGCATGTGAGTGTAATGTTATATATGGAGAGCATTGTATAGTTATAAAGTGTTTATTAATTATAGTATATGTAGCAGGCATAAGCATATGTAATGGCTAAAATTTAATATTAAATATATTAACCTCCTTGCATTCTTATAGATGTCTTAAATATATTTATGCTCATGGTAATAGTTAATGTGCATTGGTGCTTGAAATATATCAGACGCTGTGGCAGTTTCTTTTCAAGAATAACAATAATTATCAGTGTTTTATGACATAAGTATTATTATTTCCTTTATTTTATGGATGAGAAAAACAAGGGGTTGAGAGGGTACATAACATTCTAAGATCACACAGCCAGCAAATTTGAGTCCATGCATCCCGGCTCCATGTGAGTCTAGTTAGTTGCTCCTTGGTTAAAATTATTCGTCTTAAAATATCTAAGCTAGATAGATAGCTTGATAGATAGATGGCCAAAAGGTATATACTTCTAGTTATAAGTTCTGGGGATGCAATGTGCAGTATAAGAACAGCTAAGCTAAACTATTTCCCTGTGTCACTGTTAGTCCTCTAAGATGCAAGAGGCTTTTGCATATCCCCAGCAGACAATTCCTTCATCAAGTATTTGTTGATATTTAATCTAGAGCCAGCACTGGGATAAGCCTGGTGAATTCCAGTCCCTCCCTCAGAGACCAAGTTTTTCCAGGGTCAGAGGAGCCCTTCCATGATGAGCCCATCCCATCCCCCTCTCACGGGGCCGTCTCACCCGCTCCACCTCCTTGCTGACACTCAGTGTGCCCAGCGTTCTTCTGCTCTAGAGCCTTTCATTGCCTTTACCCCAGAAGTGTACGCCCCTTGCCCCCAAGTATGGTCCCCTCCCGCACAGCCTTCAAGTCTTTGTTTGATTATCAACTGCTAGGGAGGCCGGAGTGGGTAACTTCACCATGACCCTGCCATTCACTGACTCCTTCCCTGCTTTTTCATTTTTTTTGGTATTTAATTATCTTTTTTTTCTTTTTGTATTGTCTGACTTCCTCCACTTACTTACTGAAATCTAAGACCCAAGAGAGAAGACTGCCTGTTTTATTCACTGCCCGTGGCCCCTGCATGTAGAACAGCCCCAGCTACGTAGTAGGAACTCAGCAAATAAGAGTTGAATGAAATATGAATGCCACGTGTTCATGGCCTTCAACAAGCTTGTGATTGAGGAGAGAGAGGAAGGCATGCAGTGTGGCAGTGTGGCAGTTACACAGGAACAGAGGTAAGGCTGTGCTGGTGGTGACCCTGGGACCAGTACCATCTGCATCATTTGGGGTATTTTAGAACGTAGAGTCCTGAGCTCCACCCTGTAACACTGTGAATCGGGGGAAAGTTAGGTTCGAGTTTGAAATCTATACTTTAAAGAAATGCTTCAGGTGATCTCCATGGATACCAGTGACCCCAAGGGATAGTGCAGATACAGAGAAAGAGCATCAGTTCTTCCTGGTGAGGGAATAGGAGATCCCTAAGAAGTATCTTTTAAAGTTCGAATAGGATTCCTCTAGGGGAAAGTGCAGGAGTTAGGCAAATGGAGGTGACGTGGGCAAGGAAAGCCAAACAATTGAGAGCAGTAGAGGAAAAAAAAAGGGAAGCTTTTCCTTTTCAGGAACATTTTGTCCAACACAATGATTAAAATTTTGAGGCTGAGTTTTTTAAAGGGTTGTTCGCATGCCTGCTTAGTTCCACACATGAAGTGTCACAGAAAAAAATGGCCACGCTTCCAGCAGGCTCATGGCAAGCATCGGGTATTGGACCTGCTCGGTTTACATAGCTTATTATATTTGCAGAATGATTTGTGATCTCAATAGCCTCTTAAAAAGAAAGTATGTTGGTTCCATTTTAGTAATTTCCGAGATTATTAACGTTCTGAGTAAACACAACCCAAAAATGTGCAAGTCCCCGCCAGGAAAGATTTACAGAGTCAGCCCGTTCCTCAACTCCCAGTTCCAGTAACCGCTTCACATGCATCTCTGATAGGTTCAAAAATGCATGCCTTCACTCAACGGTCCCTAGGTGTCGTCAGGGAGAACAGAGCTGAAACATGTTCAGATCGATTTGGGGCAAAAACTCTTGGAGTCAACAGTCTTAGATGTGGTGATTAGCAACACGCATTCCCTGAACGCTTTAAAACAATTTCAAAACATCTGGCAATCACCCTTAGAAGTCATGCCTTGTAAGAACCTAGGAAGAGAAGTGAACTTCCTATTTTCAGGACCCGGAAGGAGGCTAATGGAAACTGGACGAATGGGGACAAGGGAGGCTCTCTCTCTTTCCTTCCCTACATCCTGTTTCTTTTCTCTCTCATACACAGTGACAGTCAGGTTGCCCAGGATCGGGCATCTCAGTGTCAGGAAAGGTATGTAGGCAAGAGGTATTCCGCTGCGGTGACAGTTAGGGCGTATCCTCTTCCAGGGCACTAAGGCGATTGAGCCCTAAGTTGTGTGGGGTTCACCTAAGGAGAGAAGTCACACGCCTCTTTCTTCCATTCACCCATCACCCATACACATGTCAGCTGCCCCACCTGAATCACGCTGCTACTTACAGAGCAATGAATGACAGACAATGAACCCCTCACGGACACTGTCACAACTGCTACTAATGGCAGCAAATAGATACTTCACTTTACCTTTCTTCTTGTGTTTGGGTTGTAGCAGAAGACACTTGTAAATAAGTCCCGTTGGTTTTATTAAATATCTTTATGGCCTAACAATGTTGTGAATTTGCGAGGGCTGCCAGGACTGTAAAAGCTGATGGGCTAAGCAGACGGGGTTGGTCAAAGTTGGACGTGCACAGAGGGAGGTAGTGGAAGCACTTTCCTCTTAACTGAATGCCCTTGGCCTTTGTAGGTCCTGGAACAAGGGCTTGCATGGGCCACAGAAGCCTAGTATTTAGGCAGCTATAAAACAACCGTCCCCTTGTGTCCCTTCTGAGAAGTGTCAAGGGCAGGGTCTCGTTTCTAGGAAAGGGTGCAGCAGTGCTGAACCATCCCAGCCAAAAGATCTATGTAGGCAAGCAAAGGCCAAGGGTACAGCCAAATTGATGAACTCGCTCCAGAGGGACCTTGATGAGTTGTAGAGGTCAGGTCAAGGCAGTACTGGGCATGCGTGAGTGGTGATTGGGATGAAGCTCAGAGGGGTGTTCTCTGACCTGAGAATTGCAGGGCATCCTTGGAAGGTTGAAGGGAAACACCCAGGGCTAATGATGGGCAGGCACACCTGGGGTAAACTGCTTCCCACAGCCTAATTGAACACAGAATCAAAATCGAGTAAAAATCCCCAAACAACCCCCCCAAAAGTGTTAGAATTCAGAAATTATATGTATATATATATATATATATATATATATATACACATATATATATATATATATATATATATATATATATACATAGTTTGGTTCTTGGAGGGTGGCAGGTTAGCTTCTGATCTACATGTGAATGTTCCCGAGACCCTGGACCATCCTTTTAGCCTAAGACTACTTGTCTGCTGAAGCCACTTACCTTTAGCAATAGCAAACTA